TACCTGGCAAGTTTAATGACGAAGCCGAATGCGATTTGATGTTCTACAAACAGGAGCCCGATACATTTCATATAATCGATCGCTGCATTCGACACGGCGCTGGAATCGAGATACCAGACAAAACCATGACCAGCATCTTAGACGCGTGCCATTTGCGCTGGAACCTGCCAACGTATTTTACCCTGACGGGGAAGGTGCGCTCAATGACGACATCGCAAAGGCACTCCTTAAGGCAAAAGAGCTGAGGATGCGTGCGCGTGGACAACGCGCTACGACCATTGTAGCCAGAAGTGGCATACTACGACACCTACTTCACGCCATGGAGGCTGAACTCAACAGGGTAGATGTACCATGTGTGTTCACCCGTCTACTGCATGAAGCCTTGTTTGCCGCCAGTGCGTTTACCTTCTACAATGAGGCATCTCCATGCAACGCGCTGTTCGGCCGACAACCAGCGATGCTACCCGACTTGCCTCCTCTGGACAAAGAACAGCCGACGGACATTTCCGATCGTACTCCAGAACCGGCCGATTCGCCGGGCAATCATTGAGGCTACACCTCAAACCATTGCAGTAGCGAAGACGAACCGTACATTGCGGACCAAGGCTATCATCACTGGTCAGCATTACCATGACGAAGGAGACCTGGTTGACTATCATCGCCCCAGTACATCGAAAGACGACCGGGGTGGCCTGAATGGACCCTTCCCAGTCAGTCGTACGGAATGACCCCGACAGGGGTCATATCATCATAAGAGTGGGGAAGCGCGAGGTACAGGTCCAGCGCGGTGACGCGCGACATTCATTATACATTGAAGAACTTGGTCGCGCGATAGATTTGCTCGGACAACGCAGAATTACGAATTGCGTTGGCATGTGTAGCCAGTCTACCTGCGGGGCGACTTGCCACGACATTTGGATCCTAAGGTGCACCTAGCTCTTCAGTACCTGATCAGGGCGCAGTTTCTGTCAGGTTTGCTAAGTGAATTCGTAAGCTACCTCCGGTGACGTATGCTGACAGTTGTACATTGGTGCGCTGTGACGACGACGTGAATCCAGGCTTCCACTACTACGAAGCCGGACGCACTGCCCTAAGCATGCAAGACATAACTGGACCAGCATATACAAGGATCATCCAGTGCTTGAAGTCCACCAAACCCTAAGCGGGCTTCGACCCAGACGCGACGAAGCTCGAAGAACTGGCCGACGTGTCAATGCAAGGCAACGACGCCAGGGGGGGGCCAGATTGGATCACCACAGGAAAACGGACAGCTTCCCACAACTTATGAGGAACCAGTGGCGGACCTCGAGGCACACAGCGTGGAAATGCGGCACGCAGAACTACGTGACCAAAGGGAACTATTGGAGGCAACTCCAATAGTCGAGCTCTTTACCGTAGCCGCACAGCTGATCACTCACAACAGCGCGCTCGTCACAGTAGCTGAAGAACAGCGGCAGCTGAAGAACAGCGGGGGGGCCTCCCTGTGCGGAGCAACCCACAGGGAATATACACAATTGGGACATCATGTTCCATTGTGCTGCACGGACGAAGATGACTGTTACGGATTGGATTTTGGCGAGCACGGGCCACGCGTAGAGCTCTGCTTCATGACAGACATGTCAAAGATAGCCTCACCCGAACAACAGCACTGGATAGCCTTGCTCCGACCGTGCGACCACGATGCGAGCATATGCGACCGCTGCAGCTAAACGAGCTGCAGCCCTTCAAAGCGGACACCCCTCCCACGAAGGCTGATATCCACGCGCGCCCAGGCAAGGTATCGAAGGCCCTCTATCGTGAACTCAAGACATGGCTTGGCAACGAATGCTTCAACATACAAGGTCTATCCAAAGCGTCAGACATCACGACTCCGAGATGCGTATATACGTGGAGGTTCGCCAAGAACGAGAAGAGCGGGATGGGCCGTGCCATCAGATTGCCATTGGTACTCCGGGATTTCATGGACCTCGAAGCCTTCGAGGTGGAGACTTTCTCGGGAACGGCGCGGCGACCAAGTCAGCGATTGCTCGCCAGCGCGGCGGCGCGCAGGGAGCAGCGGGTTATTGATTCCCTCGACATCAACGTGGCTTTCCTGAAGGGACTCATCTATCAGGAACTTGCTGAAGCAACCAGTGAAAAAGAACGCGCGGCGCGCTCTGCATTGCTACCTGGGTCGGCATCTGCGCTCAGATCCCCCCCGGGATTCGAGCACTACGGTGAGTCGAGACATTGTCCACATTTCCGCAAGCCAGGCACGGGCACCAAGGATGCGCCAAGAGCCTTCTCACTGAAGCTCAGGAAGACTACGAGGGGGTTCGGTCTTAAACCCGCGTCTTACGACAAGAAGTTCGAGACGTGTTCTTACTTTCCTACAGCCAAGCATGTTGATGACATAAACATGGCCAGGACTGAGGGCGCCGTCGACAAGTGCGCCAAGCGTGTTGCGGACACGTTTGGCAAATCTAATCTCAACAAACACACATGCACCAACTGCGCCGCGAGGCGCGCGAAAGACGGCAACGGCAATGTCACACGTGACCAAGACGAATATCAGCATCATGCTTTCACGAGCGCAGACGCTGAGGCCAAGGCATCGAATGTGCGTTGCCGACATTTCTGTCAGTCTCAGAGGCGCGTTGGCTTATGCCTCTATCACGCAAGCGCGGTTCATGGTATATGCAGCATCACTACAGCGTGTCCAAGAACCGACCAACATGCAAGTGCGACGATTGGGCGCGATTACCAGAAAGGTGCAGGCCTGCCCTAAGAAGATCTGCTATCAAACGATGGCTCCAACGGGTGAAATCGACCGGCACAGCGATTCCGGCGACTGGCGTCTGAGCGGAGAAGCCGATGACGAGGTCAAAGGTTATGGTATTCACGGGGCAAACCTGCTGCAGCGTGGGCACGTGCATGCTGGCAAACCCGTCGTCCATCTTGCCAACGCGCACTGCGCGTCTCATCGCTCGCAGGTCCGATTGAGCTACTCAGCGGAAACACTTGGAGTCGCCCGCAACATGGTGGACTGCTATCCCACGGTCGTCACAGTGCACGAACTCCACGCAAAACCGCCGACGCCCACTCAACTGAAATATATACTTGAGAGGGGCGGCCTGAGCATTAAGGTCACTTTGACCACTGATGCAGAATATGTCTTCAAATCCTTGTCAAGCAAAGACTTGAAGAAGCCGGCTGAGTGTACATTTTTGGGACACATCAGTTGGATACGACAAATGATGGGGCGAGGTATCGCGCATTGTGTGCAGTGGTGTGGCACTCGCGATATGACCGCGGATGGCCCCGCCAAAGGGGAGGGATCATCGACAGAGACATGCTCCTACAAGTCAGGGAGGGAGTGCAATCCTCCCAGCACGACCTGAAACGACACACTCCCTACAGGGCTGGCCAGACGATATCATCTGAGCCGCCAGGGGAGTAGCTATGAGCAGGGCAATTTGCCTGCGAGGTAACTTGCCTGCAAGGTAACTTGCGTGCGGGCCAACCTGCCTTTGTTGAGCCCGCCTGTTGCTCCCTACCTTGTGTGCCACTTAGTATTTGCTGGATAGCTGGCGGCGGACTCACGCTTCGTTTCCTCCCCCCCCCGACTAAAGGACGTTGGGCACAAGGCGAGAGGTAGCGAGCGTGTGTGCGCGGCCGTTTGTGTTCAAGCAGCTGGCCGCCAAGTTACGATTGCGCCTCATTGCGAGGCACATTAGTTGCCATCGAGACCGAACACAGTTTCGCTTGACATGGCGCGTCGCTCGCGCGAGTAATTCCTGCTCTTGGGACTATCGCTACTCGGGTATAGCAGGGTTGGATATGGGCTTCGCCTTAGGCAAGGAACCTGGCTGGGCCCCCAAACCCCTTTTCGAACTGACAGGAGGTGCTCCCCATGGCAAGGTGGGCACGATAGACAAGCTCCGTTTGGAACAGGAGTGGCCTTGCAACCTCTTCTCTGAGAGAGCATCCACGCAGGAAAGAAGGATCATGCAATGCAGTGAGGGATGCAGCGAGAGCCCCCCAGTCTTGTCACAGCTGCGCAAGCTTTTTTTTTTTTGCCATTCGATCCGAGGACGTCTCACGTGACACACTGACGTTGAAAAAGTATCGGGCCCCATCCGTCCAATTGTTTCACATGTTCTGTTTTCGGGCCTTAGAATTCGGGCAAGGTGCAAGCGAGAGCCCAACTTTGAAAAGGAACAGTCAAACCACATTGGAAGACTGCGACATTTGACGCGGAATGCGCGCGGCGTTGAGGTGTGTGTGGGGGCTGTTTTAAAAATCGAATCGCAGAGTATCGTTGCAAATGTTGCGCATGTCTACGATGAGCATGCGGGGCGTTAGTGCGAGAGCCCGAATCTGTAAAATTACCAGCATCCAGCCATGTAAGGGTTGTTCGATGCTGACACGATTTCGCGGGGCGATAAGGAAAATCAAAGTTTGAAAAGGATCCTTTTTTTTATGTATTGCAAGCCTTTTGAAACGAATGGGTGCGCGTGACGCTTGGGCGAGAGTCCAACATTGAATCAGCCCCTATTGCCATTCGAGTAGCTGTTCAAGCTTCTAAAACGAATCCGCGCGGCGGTACGGATGAGAGTTCCATTGTGGAAAAGGACTCGGTCTTCATCCGTTGTGTCTGTTGCGAGCGTTGGCAACGGATGTGCGCGGCGCTCAGTCGAGAGCCCCAGTTTGAGAAGGAGCCGGTCTCAATCCGCGCTTGTATTGGAAACGTAAGGTTTCGGGATAGGCCGACCTTTTGACACGTCGGGTAGTCCAGGGCCCTCTACATGGGGATTTTGTCGAACTCATACATTGGCGCGCCCGTGAAAGTTGCAGTCGCGGATCGCGGCATTTTTGTTAGTCTTTGATTTCTCCAGGTGGGACCTTGAGAGTCCAGGCTAGAGCTGCCCTGGTTTTGGAGGCCCTGAAGGGTGCGACGCGGAGGAGTTATTCATCAGCAGCTGGCATTCGATGGTAGGAGGCCAGGGGGGCCAGATGAGCACATGATGCTTGGTGCCGCCAGGGCCGGCCGCCGCTGTCCACGCACGTGAAGATCGACGCCGAGGGATCCGAGTGGGCGTTGGGGGGGGGGGGGGGTCCACTTCGATCTTTTTCTTTCACTTGGGACGCGAAAAAAAAGAGAGAGAGAGAGAGGGAGAGAGAAAGAGAGAGAGAGAGAGAGACCGCCCCTGCCCTTCGCATGTTCCCGATCGCAGGCCAGCCAGTCGGGGGTTTGGATCGGGGCCGTGTACAGCAGGATGCATGTGTGTCTTCGGGCGAGCGTCCACAGTGCATCGTCAGTCAGCTGGATGTTTATGGACCTTGAGGTCAGTGTTCGCACGGCGCTGCAGAAGCGATCTCTCTCTCCCTCTCTGTTGCCCTTGTCCTCTGTTGTGTGTTCATTCTCTTTCTATATCTCTCTCTATATGTTTTGTATACGTGTATCCATTTGCACAAACGGTGTTCGCGCTCAAGGGCCACACTTTGGTTTCTCAAACAATTGGATGGGTTTGCCTGGTTGTTGCTGCCGCCCGTACCGCCTCGTGGGCGCCGCGTGCGCTGAGCGGGTTTCCTGAGGCTGCGCCGCGATGCCGCCCGGGGCGCCTCGTGGGCACCTTTTTGGGCACCCTGTTCTCTGAGCTGACACGACATCGCTTTGTCCACATTGTGCACACCACATCGCTTACTCCAGATCTCGTAATAAAAGGGAGGGGGGTCACATTTCGGGGGGGGTCTCTTCCAGGCTATCTTGGGGGGCCTGGGGGGGTCTGGGGACGATGTTTTGGAGGGTTCTCCCACGGGGGGGGGTCTGAAATGGCTTGTCTTGGAGGGTCCAGACCGCCTCCCTTTTATTACGAAATCTGGAGTATACCACATATACTACACACATTGTTTGCGCTGCGTAGCTTACATGGCATAACTTACACCCCACATCCTCACCTCCAGTGCACACCGCGTAGCTTGCACGAGCTAGCTTGCATCATCTAGCTTACTCGGTATAGCGTTCAACCGCATAGCTCACACCATGTATCTTACCCGACATCTCTCACCAGCTTGTACCGCACAGCGTTCACCTTCACAGTGAAATAAACAAGAACGCGCCATTTGGGGTCCAAGCTGGCGAATACCTTGTGCAAGCATGATAGCTGACGCTCATGGGTCAGACCGCAGGTGGGTGGAGCTGGCCGACCTCGTTGCCAACCCCGAGGACTGCGCGAAGATCCGCACGCTGGACATGGAGGTCTTGGCCGCTTCCCCGGATGCGCCTGCTCCTCCTCGTCGTCATCGTAGTCAACCTCCTCTTTCTTCCTCGATCCTCCACCCTCACTGCCGCCGTCGTCGTCGTCTCCGTCTTCTTCGTTTGCGTCTCTGCAGTGATTCGTCGGCGTTCTTCGAGTCCCCTTTCGTCTTTCGATTTCGCCGTTGTCGTCATCGTCGTCTGTTGTCTTGCGGGGCCTCTTCTTTTGGGACCTCGTGCCCCTCCGCGGGCGCGCGCGCGAGGCCAGTGCGGAATCCCAGAGTCCTTCCGGAGGCCTTCCTCCTCCCCGCCCTCCTCGCTCCTCCCCTCCCGCCTGCTCGCGCACGTCACTCACAGCTATGATGCTATGGTGCCCGCGCCACCATGCACGCGGGCGGCGCAAGAGGGGAGCAAGAGGAGGAGGAGGAGGAGGAGAAAGAGTAGGGTACTGGAAAAGGGTTGACCATGTGTGCCTCGTGGAAAATATGACTCGCATGCAGCACGTTCGCCTTCTTTTCTGGACCAAGATGCGCTGCGTGAGTTTGACAGTGGTAGGTCGGCTCGTGTGAGGCTCCCAGCCTGCCAGGCGACGTCTTGACTCGCACAGCGGGGGGCTACCCTGTTCATCGCGCTGGACAAAGAGCAGAGAGCGGTGGGCGGGCCCCACCTCAGGAGGCTGCCGTCACTGCCGCTGTGTCGGTGGCAAGGGCCCCTCACTGATGCCCCTCGAGCCATCCCTCCAAAGAGTCCTTTCACTTCGGGGGGGGGGGGGTACTTCCATTATTCAGTACGGTAGGTTCATGCGACGATGGCGCGCCAGTGACGCCAGCGAAGGCGCTCAAGGCTGAATCCTGCGACGCGGAAGCACCGACGGACACGGTAACGTTGCTGTGCCCGACAGCGATCGATTTAAGGTCGAACGATCGACGCGGTGTCACAAACCTTAGGTCGGGCATGTCCCACTACAGGGCGATGTTCGACGACAAATTCAAAAAACACTCGAAGAAGATTCAAACATAGCAAAACAAGAGTACTGGAAAGATCGCCCACATGATAATATGTTTTGGCCATCTTCGAATTCCCCCCCCGCGGAGGGACACGCCGCCTTCACGCAGACCTCTGCGCGCGCGCCGACGCCGCCCGAGCCGGCCGATGGCTGGCGTGCGATGGCCGGGCCGCCGCCGGGGAGGCGGCCCGTGGACGCGCCGCGGGCACGCCTCCCCTGCGGTGCTGAGGTGGCCGGGCGGTCTCGCCCGGCGCCACGGGGGTCCCTCCAGCCCTCAGTCCGCAGTTTCCTGCTCGAGAATTCGTGCTACATCATTCGCCCTGCGATCAGCTGATTCACCTGCTACCCAGTCCGGGGGCCGCCCGCGGTGCGCCTCGGGGGCGCCCCCGTGCGCTGGCGGGGCGTCTGGGCTCTCGCCCGGTGGGCTCCTCGTGGGCGCCCACGGGGTCCTCTCCGAAACAGGATTGCACCGAGGCCAGGGTCAGAACAGTCCCCGTGCGCGTGTGAGCATCCGCCAGAGGTGGGCAACGGCATGCGGCACTGCTAGACTGCTTTCGCTTGTTGTGCTCCTATACCCCCTCATTCGAGTCTGCATTTGGCCAGGTGCACTACAACTTGGGGGACATCGGGGTGCATACGGAGTGCGACCAGGACGCTTGCGCATATGGAAGTGCAGTGAGCATCGCAGGTCAAGCGATCTTCCAGTCTGCGACGCGTTGGCTTGGATGATTATGATGGGCGTCCGTCCCTGGAACCATGAGTAGGCGAAGCGATCCCTAATCCTGAGAGCAGGACCGTTTTCCCGCTTTCGGCGAGGAGCATCGCGCTCTGCGCTGGGGCCAGTAGAAGGCAGAGGAAGGACGAGAGCTTGGGCACGAGGAGGAGAGGGGAGGGGAGGGGGAGAGCCCGAGGCAGCGGAAGGAGGGTAACGCTGGCATGAGGACGAGAGGGGGGAGAGGAGAGGGGCGGGGAGGAAAGGGCGGTCAGCAGACGGGCAGGCGAGCAGGACGGGAGTGCAGGCGACCGGGAGGGGGTGGCCCAAGGGGTCGTTGCGCTCCAGCACGCCTCTTGCTCCTGGCAACTGGTCTTGCTGCTGGTGCTGCTGCTGCTGCTCCTCCTCCTCCTCCACCTCCGCATGGAGGCAGAAATGGTGGAGGTTAGGAGCAGTCAAACTGTGGTTTCTTATTTTCCTGTTTCTCGGATATGTTTTCGGGGCTCCTCGTCACCCTCCTCGTTTCCCTCGCCTTCCTCCTCCTCCATGTCGCTCTCGCGTCAGGGCGCCAGGGAAGCATGGACTTGGTCGACCGATAACCCTCGCCGCCGCTTTCTCTGCCGCCCCTTTTCGACGTCCTGTCTCTCTCGCTGCCTGCCATCTCTTCTCCAATGGGGGCGCGCGCTCCCTTCGCCCTGTGGCAAGTACTTCTGACACGGACTATGATCAGTTGCGTTCGCGCGGGAACGAATTTCCTCATCCCTTTTCCCCGTGAAGGTAGAAAGGAGGATGTTACGATAAGTCAAACGAGTTCTTTGTCTTGGGTAGGCCTCACGGCCGGTGCCGCCGACCCTGGATCTGGAGGGGACGACGACGCTGACGCTCTGGAAGCCTTTTTGGGGCGCCCTCGGGAGACTATTGAGCTTTACGGGTAGGCCTCCTGGGGGACTGGTTGAGAAGCTCCGTGGCCGCTTGAAGCGTTTTCGGAAAGGATCTGGGGCATCTTGCAGGCGTGCGGGAAAGTACGCAGCACCCCGCAACAACAGGTAAGAGCGAGGAGGACGCTTCTGGGGAAGGGTTTGGGAGAAGGGGGGTGGTTGTGGTGGCCCACTCGTCCACAGGGAGGGGGGGGTCCCGAGTTGCCCGTGTCAACAGATGAACCACCCCCTCCTTCCCCGTGTCCACAGGGGGGACCTCCCGGGAGCGCACGGGATTCCCCCCGGGGACCCCCCCCTTTCCGCTCGGGAAGGGATCGAAGCGTTGGGTTTCCGTGCGAATGCATAGCGATGCTGTTTGAGTTTCGCCCGGCTGGATCGCTGGATGTGCAGGGCCTTGAAGTGGGGGAAAGACGACGGCTACGACGACAATTCAAGCGGAAAATCGTTGCACACACACACGCGCCGAATGGGTCGGCGGATTTCTCGGTTTCATTTTCTTTCGGATCTGTTTTCGGGGCGTGTTCCCCTGAGCTTCGCCTGGCTCTCTCAAGGGCCCTCCCAGACCGTCGTGCCTGGTAGCACGGAATGGACCTTTCTTGTGTGGATTGCCGATCCGATCTCCTGGCGGGCCCGCGCTTTGGCGCCCCAACTTTTCGAGAGTCGTGGCCCTCGGAAGTCTGGACAACTTCCCCGAGGGCCAACATTTTCATCTGGAGCCTTTTTTCGACTGGCCCTGGGGCCGGGCAGGCCACTCCAGTTTGTTCAGAGCCTCGGATCTCCACAGACCACCGAAGGCGTGATTTTTCATACCGTCGATCCCCACTGGTCCCCACCCACTCCCCAGGACCGGTTTCCTATCTTGAATCGTTTTGCGGTCCCAGGGCCCGGTCATGGCCTTCGGAGGCCGAACACACAAACACCCACACACATACACACACTTCTTTTCTATGTGTATATATGTATATGTGTCTGTATGTACAGTTACATATCCATAGGGATATCCATATGTTCATATACCCATATTTCCATATGTCCGCCGATCCACATCGATATGTCCAAATGTATTCATGGATATCACGATGCGTGAACACTTGAACACTTGCATGGACTCATACCTCCGTTTTCGATGTACATACACATAGAAACTCACGGTCAGCTTTCTGCATGACCATGACCCGAGGTGGTCTTCGTCTGGCGGGGGGCGGGGGGGGGGCGGGCGCGGAGGAGACCCTGACCAAGAGGGTCGAGACGATGGAGAAGCTCTCCGAGGCCCCCGGGGTGGAGGGTTTCATAGAAGGGCTTAGGCGACCCGTCCTCCTCCTCCTCCTCCCCTCCTCCTCATCCTTTCTTCCTCCTCCTCCCTCCTCCTCCTCCTCCTCCTCCGTCTCCTCCTCCCCCTCCCCCTCCCCCTCCAACTCCTCCTCCTCCATCTACTCCTCCCCCTCCCCTCCACCTCCACGTCCTCCCTCCTCCTCCTCCTCCTCCTCCTCCTCCTCCTCCTCGTCCTCCTCCTCCTCCTCCTTCCTCCTCCTTCCTCCGCCTCCCCGGGTCGCCCACGGCCCCTGGGAAGTCGTGCACCAGGAGTGTTTCGCGCGCGCGGCCTCCCCTGGCGGCCGCCCGCGGAGCTGGGGAGCGCCCGCCGCCACCTCCCCCCCCCCCCCTCCTCCTCCTCCTCCTCCTCCCTCCTCCTCCTCCTCCTCCTTCTCCTCTCCTCCTCCTCTCTCTCCTCCTCCTCCTCCTCCTCCTCCTCCTCCTCCTCCTCCTCCTCCTCCTCCTCCTTCTCTTCTCCCCCCTCCTTCTCCTCCTCCTCCTCCTCCTCCTCTTCTCCCCCCTCCTTCTCCTCCTCCCCGGGAGCCCGAGCGGAGACATGATCGAACACACTCACGCGTGGCCCTTTGCTGCCCGAGTGACCTTTTGGTGCGGGCCCGCTGTGGCCCCACGATCGCCGAGCGCGATGCGACAGCAGCGTCTTGCGCGCGCGTGTGTTGGCCCCCCCGCGGCCCCCGAAAAGCCGCGCACCACAGGTCACTCTTGTCCGCGGTCGCTCTTTGCGCGCAGCCGACACGAGCACGCAGACTCCGGGGGGGCCGCCGGGGGGGCGCACGCCTTCCTATTCCCCAGGGAAACGAAAGACTTGAGTAAGCGGGAGCTCGGGTTTGCCGAAGTTGTTCGACGAGCGCGTCCTGGATGTTGACTGTCCGGTTTTCGTGGGACGTTTGCAGCGGGAAGAAGAAGAAGAAGAAGAGAAGAGCGCGCTGAGTTCGCCGGACGGCCGGCGGGCCCCCTAGGAGCAGCGCGGGTGGGCCGGAGCCCGGCTACTGCATGTGGTGGAGGAAGGCGTCTTCCCAGCTGTCCCATAATTTCTGGTCGCAAGCAAAATATAACCAATGTTTGGTGATACTCCCAGTGGTAATTTGTATAAACTGTGATATGTCGTCGCACCACCGCCTGCGTTGTCGTCCATGTCTGCGCTGTGCTATTCGATTGTCGTGGACTTCCGGCTCCCACGCTGCCGCAAGCCTTGTCCATCTAAGGTTCGAGTGTGTTGCCACTCGCTTTGCCCACCGCCATTTTCGTCTGTAGTATACTGTTGTCCACTCGTCCTCGTGAGAGCGGGCAGCGAGATCTGTAGCCACATGTGTGGCTCTGCGAATGAACTCATCCCATGGTTCGAGTTCTGTATCGTCTTCGACGTCGTCGAACTCGAATTCCCTTCCTGCGTCGATCGTGCTGTCGCTGGTGTCATCGTCGGTGCGAGCAGGGTTGGACTGGGCGTCGTCGTCGGCTGCTGCGTCCTGTTGGGTGCTCTCCCGTCGCCTCGGAGTGTTCACAATGAGTCGTAGCATACGTCGTTGTGCACGTCGTAATGTCAACAGCAGGTCTTTGGTAAGAGTCCACGAAGTGCAGCCGTACATAGCTGTCGGTGTTACGGCGCCGCTGAATCGCCAGAGCCTGCTGTGAAGCGGGTACCGTTTGCTCGTTAGTTCGTCGCGCAATTGGTTGAATCTGCGCCATGCCATTGCGATTCTGTTGGCGAGCTCGGTGGGGTGGTAGTCGTGGAATGTAAGCTTCCGGCCGAGGTACTTCGTGCTCTGTTCGTCGTTGAGGATGTCGACTCTGTCGCCGTCAATATCAACGTGAGTAATCGTTCGCCCCTGTCGCCGGCTTATGTTCGTCGCTTTAAACTTGGTAGCGGAGTTGACCGTCGGTGGCAAGCTCTAATTCCATTCGTTGCTATCCACGGCACTATCTGGTGGACGACTGATCTGGTGGGCTATCAGGGTGTAGTGGCTCTACGCGGATGAGACGATGGCCATCGCAAGGACACTTGCGTTGACACTTGTGCTCACGCAGAGGTGTCCGACCTGAGCCCCACATTTCTGCGTTATTGCACTCCTGAAGTTCATCCACCAACGCCAGATTGCATTTTCTTCGAATATACAATGCATGGCAACATGCGATATTACATCGTGCCGCCCGCACATCCTCGCAAACTGACGGCAACGTCACCTCACAAGCAACCAGTTACAACCGACACTGACCTACGACGCCACTAGATTGGCATCACTATATTTGGCTCCGTTTGGGTCGCCATCGGATGTGCTGTTGGACATACGCAGCGCGGTGCAGACGACACGCGCACTACCGGCCCCCATTGGGACCCTGCCGGTACCGTACCTTTTCGCGAATTCGCTCGCGAAGTACATGCCTGGATCAACGTGACCACAGGCACCATGACTCCCTCCCAATAGGCCGCTGCTTTACAGCGTGGGCTTGGAGGTTCCGTCAGGACCATTGCCAGCAAAATCCCCCCATCAGTAATCAACGCTGGAGTGAACATTTGTGGGCGCCACGCCGATGGGGTCACCTAGATAATGTTCCTCCTCAGTATTAACTTCGAGAACGTTGAAGATGAAAGAACTGAATTTGGGGGCGACCCTCATTGACTGTCGCGTCTATGCGGGAGAACGGACCGACTTGACGCCGGCACGTTTCGAAATCGCACGATTCGAAGCTGTCGCTGCGGGGTTCAACGTCCCAAATTGTTGACGCTTCGCGTATCCCCACCAGCCCATCCAGAAACGATGCTCAGGGGAGTTGAGGTGATCAGGGAAGTCGGGGAGCATGCAGAATAACAAAGGGCGGGGGAAGCTGTCACAGACCCCGAGAGGGGGAGGATGGAAGAGGAGTCGTCGTCGTCGTCGTCGTCGTCGGAGGAGGAGGAGGAGGAGGAGGGGGAAGAGGAGGAGGAGGAGGAGGAGGAGGAGGACGGAGAAGGAGGAAGAATCGGAGGAGGAGGAGGAGGAGGGGAAGGAGCTTCTTGGGGGTCTTTTGAGGGCCTCTTGGAGGGCTTTTTGGGCGCCTTGGGGCATCTTGGGCGCCTCTTGGGACCCTCTTGAGGCGCTCTGGGGAGCCTTCGGGGCGCTTTTGGGGCCATCTTGGAGGGAGTCGATCAAACAAGAGGGGGGGTTTAATTAGCGCCCCCCCTCGGAAGCCCCTAAAATCGCCTCTTGGACCCCTCTTGGAACGCTCTTGGAGTGCTCTTGGGCGCTCTTGGGGCCGTCTTGGGGCTCTTTTGGGGCTCTCTTGGGGCCCTCTTGGGCCATCTTGGAGCCATCTCCAGGCCTCGGATGGCCATCGGAAGCGAAAAGGCGAGAAAGCAAAAATCATTGATTTTCCTTAGGTTTTGGGACGATTTTGGCCTCTTCGGGGCCTCCTTGGGGAGCTGTTTGGCCACTTGGAGTTATCTTGGGGCCGTCTTTGGGCTTCTTGGAACCATCTTAGGAGCCATCGTGAGCGATCTTGCGCTATCTTGAGCCATCTTGGAGCTCATCTTGGGTTCTCTGAGGCGCTCTTGGAGCCGTCTTGGGCCATCTTGGACGCTCTAACTACCCGCGGCCCCCCCCGTCCAGGTCCAGGGGAGGGGGTAGGGGGAGGGGTAAACCCCTCCCCAAGGGGGAAGAGGGAGGGGTGGAAGAGGATCTGCTCTAGACCACCTACGCCCAGAGGGCTGGTGGGATTTCCAAGCCCTGACAGTCATATGGTTCAGGGCCCTAGGTGTCGGTGCTTCGCGTGCACAACAACTGCTACAACCACTGAACCACCAAATGCCAAGGACCCAACAACAATTCGACTCCTTACTGGAGCGCATGAGGGCTTACGCCCATATCGCTGAGCGAACCCCTGGTAGCCTTGGTGGTGTATTTAACCTCGGCCACCGCGCCGATGTCTTTCATTGTGACACTCATGCAGGGCAACCTGCCAGCGCCATCTGGAATGGCGATCCACAACCAAACTGGGCCACCAGTTTATTAATCCAACAAGGTGGCCAACCCTCAGGGTCGCAAGACTCCCGGGCTCAATCTCAGGGACCGTCGGCAGCGGCGGCCCCCACCCAAGTCACTACCTTAGTGGGCTCGGCGGGGCAACCCGCAGAGTCCGACTTCGACCCATGCACCGATGCCGACTGTCTGCTATGCCTGTGCACCTACCTCGCCGAGGAACAACCAGCATAATCCCACCAGCCCTCTGGGCGTAGGTGGTCTAGAGCAGATCCTCTTCCACCCCTCCCTCTTCCCTCTTGGGGAGGGGTTTACCCCTCCCCCTACCCCCTCCCCTGGACCTGGACGGGGGGGGCCGCGGGTAGTTAGAGCGTCCCAGATGGCCCAAGACGGCTCCAAGAGCGCCTCAGAGAACCCAAGATGAGCTCCAAGATGGCTCAAGATAGCGCAAGATCGCTCGAGATGGCTCCTAAGATGGTTCCAAGAAGCCCAAAGACGGCCCCAAGATAACTCCAAGTGGCCAAACAGCTCCCCAAGGAGGCCCCGAAGAGGCCAAAATCGTCCCAAAACCTAAGGAAAATCAATGATTTTTGCTTTCTCGCCTTTTCGCTTCCGATGGCCATCCGAGGCCTGGAGATGGTTCCAAGATGGCCCAAGAGGGCCCCAAGAGAGCCCCAAAAGAGCCCCAAGACGGCCCCAAGAGCGCCCAAGAGCACTCCAAGAGCGTTCCAAGAGGGGTCCAAGAGGCGATTTTAGGGGCTTCCGAGGGGGGACGCTAATTAAACCCCCCCTCTTGTTTGATCGATCTCCTCCAAGATGGCCCCAAGAAGCGCCCAGGAAGCCCCAAGAGGTCCCAAGATGGCCCCAAAATGGCCCCAAGAGGCCCCCAAGAGGCCCCCCGGAGGCCCCCAAGAGACCCCCAAGAGGCCCCAAGAGCCCCCCCAGATGCACCCAAGATGCTCCAAGAGGCCTCGGCGAGAATGCCTA